TCTCTGCTTCTTTTTGAAAATCTCACAGGCTAGAGTTTTCTGCAGCTGGCGTCTACCGCCCCCCCGTGGGGCTTCTGATGATTTGAACTATTAACTCCAAGCTAGCGTCTGTTAACACAGAAAAGTTGGATTGGATAGTTCTGTCTAGTAAATCCTGAAACTGGGTCAAGTCTAACGCTTCAGAGGCGGAAGCGATCACTGATGCTCTCGATCTAAGCATTTGACCACGTAATTCTACCTGGATAAGGTCCCCCTCGTGACACTGACTTATAGCCTGGTGAATAAGATCATTTACGCTCCCATCACATTACCATAAAATTCCCCATAATTAACCTCTTGAGTTTGATCCAAATTTAACAGACGTCTTATTTCAACATTGTTGAACTGCGCCCTGTTTACAACTGTGGTTTCAGGGAGCGTTATACCCACTGAGGGGGTCTCTGCTTCATTTTGAGTGCTTTCTGAGTGATCAACAGTTTGCTCATTTTGGTTCAAACCCTGGCCCTCTTGCCGTTGAGAGGCATCTCTTATTTCATGCAATAACGCACTTAGTTGGGTGTGTAATATGTCTAACGTGTTTGGCTGATCTAGCGATTGAGCATTGTCAATACGGTTTTGGGATGCCTGTGTTATTTCCTGCAGTAGCACATTCACGCGTGCTTCTAATATGCTTATTGTATTAGACCCCTCTGATGGCTGAACATAGAAAAAACATTCATCTCTGGACACTTCATTCAGATCTTGATCCATCTTAGTTTTTAATAACACTGTTGTTGCTATAACAAGCTAGAATATCACCCATTAATTGAAATGATTCACACAGCAGTCGATTCAGATGCATCAATAACGTGTTCGAGTGACACCTAGCGTACGGATTGAAGCTCCTCTCATCTCGCCTTCCTGGACATCCACAATCAGGCGCCTGGGGTGCCGTTCTCCTCCTCCTCCTTCTCCTACAAGAGCCTGTAGGGGTAAATAAAAACGAAGGTTAATACAGGATGCTGATGAATGAGAATTTTTAAAAAATACACGGTGAAATAATAACAACAATAATAATAATAATATGATTGCTTACTTGAGGAGGAGTCAGAAGATGATGACCGCTGACGCTTTGAACGGCTTGATCGAACCGAAGCCCTGCTCGAGCGCGGTTGCTCTGGCTCTGGCTCTGGGTCTGCCGCGGTTTGTGGCTCTGGCTCCGGCGGGGCCGCTGCTGGTTCTCCTGGTGTTGAATCACAGGTTTCTGATCAGGCTCGTCTTGAGGGGGCGCTGTCTGAGTGGCTTGATCCTGAACTTCCGGTCCCTCTTGACTGTATTGTTGCTCTTCTTCTTCCGCACCAGTAGCCGAGGTGTGCATCAACAGCACATTCTCTGGAACTACACGTTAATACGAGCGGTAAAAACACTTATTATATATTAAAAAGCTATACAGATAGAGTTAACCGAGAGAATGTGAAAATACTCACTTTCTTGAGGGTCAGGTAGGGGCTGTTGGTGGTTAGCCGACTTTTTTTTTGAAAGAAAAAAAGAGAGAGTTCAGCTGTATTGTCTACACAAGCTATATATATTTTTTAAACATGTTTTTGATTCTTTAAACTTACCATACACACGCTGTGTCAGTATCGCTTGTTGTTGTTGTTGCTGCTGTCGAAAAGCTCGTTCATACACACAAAAATAGGTGTCTGTTGGGTGTTGAATAGTTTTTTCAGAAAAAAGAAACAAAATATACATAGAGTAGAATTAGTAGCTAAAAATTAGCAGGTAAAATACTTACTGAATCGGTCTTCCACAGGACCGTCGTTATTAGCATTGTTTTTAACACACATACTTTTCAAGTAGAACAAAAATAATTGTATTTTGTTCTTCGTGCAAAGTTACCTGTGCTCATGCTGGTCTTGTCTTGTCTGGAGACCTCTAAAAACGCTCCTTAAACCCATTCTTTAAACCCAAGGTATTTATAACGGAGTTTTATGAAGTGTATACTTACCTAAGCAGTGGTTAGTGATAAAAAGAACTCTGGCTTGCTGTAAGGGACGCGTCTGTTACTGATAATACCCCAAGTCGTGCTCTCTCACACAGAAAAAAAACGTTGTTTTTCTCTTAAAAAATGTTTACTGCACTGTTATCTGTTACAGAAAGGGGCCGCTAACCGCAACAGAGCGGTTGGAGGTAGGCGTGGAAAGCATACAGAAAGTGAACCGTGACAGAGGGATGCATTAAAGAAGGTATGTGTTCACCCCTAACTGCTAAGATGCTGTACTAAAATGCTATTCATTGATGGTAGTTTGACATTCTATCTTGTCACAGAATAGAAAACGCTGTTCATTGACTGTAGTTTGTCATTTTTGTCTTGCTACTCTTTTTGTGCAATAGAAAATGCTGTTCATCGACAATAGCTCAATATTCTGACTTGCTACTCCTATTTGCAACAGAAAGTAAAATGAACAATAGTCCTGTGAGTGGCTGCTAGGTGTTTATTTGTCATTTTTACAAGTTCAAGCTACAACCAATATCAAATACAGTTATATTCTTATCTACATAACCATACATAACCATAGGCGTTGTCGGAAGTCTGCCACTTCCTCATCGGGTTTCAGATGATGGAAAGAATATTCAGTCACAAAACACCACAAAATACCAAAGTGCACTTAATTATAATTACCTTTTATTCACAGATGCGCATCTGGAGATCACAGCAGCAGCCAAAATGATCTGATCTGATCTTTCTAACATTGTGTATTATATACTATTCTTCCCGCCTACTTACATTCCTTAGGATGCAGCTGAGATCAATCAGCACCCAACCAAAGTTTCTATCCCACCATACACAATACTTCTCTCATGACAGTTAAACCTTCCTCCCTAAAACCAAGGTACTTTTTCTGTGATCAAAGGCACACATACACATAATGATTACATGAACACTCA